TCATACTATGCAATTAGCTACTTTTGCTATTGTGGAGGATAGAAACTGACTGACAATGTGATCATGATACGCTGTAGGTGGAAGTCAGAGCAAATTCCGCCCCTAAGCCATTGATCGCATAATACATCAAGAGCTAAACTTGATGCAAGACTGAAGGAGGTACTAAACTTAATTAACATGCCTAAATGGGAGGGCTAGCCTTATGAAATTCCTTGATCAAGAAGAAGGGGAAGGAACACGGGCATATTCACGTCTGGAGATGCGAATCCAGCAAGAAAACTACTGCTGCAATCAAAGGGCTGCCATTAATTAGTCTAACGCACAACGGCTTTACTCAATCCATTGCTTGTTCGTTAGTCCTTATGCACAAATGCGCACAGGAAGGAAATGAAGCTACATCCTAATAGCAGGAAAGAGATTCTATTACCAGTAATTGTCTAGCTACACGTACACGGTCTTCCATCTGCGCCTTCGCTTCGCTTGATGGATTTATGAGTCTTTACGAACTAACTCACCGAGGGATTGAACTTCCATCGTAGTAACCGTAGTTGGGCTCCGAAAGAAGGTTCTGAAAGAATTGTAGGTGAACATCAATAGGGAAAGCAAGAAGCCTGAGAGAGCTTCCAGGCGGAAGTACCTAAGGGCAATCACTCAGAGAACAAATCACACTATTAAAAGCACTAACAGCAGCAGCGGAAAGTTGCCTTGGTTGAGGCACTCTCAGATGGGCTTCTCCCCGGAAGAAAGAAGGGGGTGAGGAAAACAATAGCCTCAAAGAAGGGCATCCCATTGACTCCTTTAGGATAATTGGTTGCAGATGTTGAGACACCAGGTTCAAAGATGGAGGCTAAGACTTCTCACTCTTTATCCTCATTGGACTGAAGGAATACGCTGCTAAGGATGTCTGTCAAAAGAGTCCTCGCTACTCTTTGATCTATCTCCTCAGCTCTTCGATAGAAGCAATATTGGATTACAGGAACTACAGCCAACTAGTAGACGTTACGCTCCTCCCTCTTGCCAGGAGGCACTTCGATGCACTCTCCTTCAGGTAGGATTATTTTATAAACATTGAGGAGGTAAGAGCCCTATCAACCATACATTTCGCATACTAGTGAAAACTAGAAGCTTAAACTCCTTACTCAACTACAAATACAGTAAGGAAAGGGGGGCAACGATCGATCTTGTTTGACTGAGGTGCTCACTGGGTCTTTCAGATTGGTAGCTTCTTTCCCGTCTTGGTCCGTGTCGAAGAGAAATATGGAACCCATCAATGCCCGACCCTAGACTTGAATGAAGCAGCCCGGCTTGGAGCCCTATTTTGGTTATGGGTATCGTGTAGATCCAGCCAAATCCCATATTAGAGACATTGGGGCACCTGCACCTTTATATTAACAAAAAAGATAGGGACCGACCCTTCTCTTCTATCTATACGTGGGATACATTCCCTCTTATCCGGTTAGGGCTTCTTCCCAAGAAATGAACAAGCATCGAAGGCCATTAAAAGCCATGGTACTGAGACCCACCGCTCACCCAACTCACAGTGCGTGGTCGAATTCCTAGGGCGGGCCACACCACACTATAGAATGAAGAATGAAAATTGCTAGCCTTTATTATTTCACATTCCACGGGATTCTCCTTCTGCATTTTTTCCGAGGCTTCTTTCTCTAAGAGCGCATGCCGAATGGGCCCAATTATGCACCTGGCTGCCTTATTGCAAAACCCATCAATCCCCGGAGGTTGGTATACGAAATACAAAGAAAGGCGGAATTTGCAGCATTCAAGTTATTGAAGAAAGTCTTTCCTATAAGAAAGAGGGGGCATTCCGTATTAATTAGATAGAATGAGGGAAGCCTACTTTGATCTTGTTCTAAAGTGCGCCCATTAGTACTACTATAAGAGCCAGGCCAAACAACAGGCTTCTTATATAAATAGAAAGCCCTTTCCCTATCTGCCTTATTTATCCGCACCTATCTACTCTTTTCTTTGGAATGGAAGGTTCGGCTATTCAAATCGTAAGCATAGATTTGGAAATAGATAAGTGGAAGGGTTATTTTGTTCTATAAACCTCGCAGAAGCGGGAGAGCGATCAACCAATTGTTGGGTTCCTGTGCCCTAGTTTATTCATGTGGTTGGGTTAGGCGTATCCGAAACGTAGGTATTACTCTCTTTCTTAACCTGGCCTTACCTTTCGGAAATGTAGACGGGTAAAGCGGATGGAAAGTCTCTCATAGCTACATAGAGATCGAGCTTGGAGGCCAGTCTAGCAGGTGATTTGATCGGGCGCCCACGGAGGCTGCGAAGGGGAATCGGTTCTACTTGAAACGGGGACGATCATCCCAATGGTCACTCATATGGTACTATATGTAGGAGATATTCTGAAAGATCTCATAAGGAGAAGGGAACGACCCCCTTCGATCCTGCCTGCAAAATTGGGGAAGATAGATAAAGGGGAGCTGGCTTGACCAATAGGTACTTCTTCGCTCTAATCTAAATGGAGATAGGGCTTGATGAATCGAGGAGATGGAAACTTCCAAGCAACTTTATGGCGATTTGCAAAGATCGACTCCTACTGTGCCCAACAGCGCTTAAAAACAAGCAAACATTTAACATCTTTTTCAGAGAGGGTGACCGGTTTAATCCCTTCATCGGGAATATATATGAGCTCTCCGATTAGCAGACTCTGAAGAATGAGAAGGAACCACGGCTGCTGCTTCTTTAAATAAAAAAGTTTTGGATCATCAATATCGTTCTTGATGCTAAAATCTCCCTCTATAGGTGTCGAGGGGCTTTACGGCTTCTTCATTCCTAGCCGAACGTTTAGTATAGTATTTGACCCAGCCTAGTTCTGGAATCGGAATGTTTTATAGATATGCTTTCAAAAAAGCAAGGAGTTCACAAGCTATTGATCTACTATATAAGCAGAAAGGGGTGATTAAAAAGCAGCTCGAGACCTCATGGACATAGAGCCTTCCTCTCCCGTTGCTGTTCGGGCTCGGCCGTTAAAGGACGTACCCAAATAGAGCCGTTTAGGCGATGGAATCCTTTATCATGTTTGCCTATCTGACATGACTAACGTTGGTTTTTCTTTCTCAAATAGGGCCACTGGATGCGTTTGGGGATAGGAGGAGATTGACCACTAGGGGGTTCACATGACATGATCTGGAACGGGTGACTCCACTAGCAAGGGAACGGCGGATTCATAATCCACTCTCGCTAATTAGACAAACGGGAATCGAACCCAATTACGAGAGCCTACTATCTCTGTCCTCAACAGTCGCTTCTTTTCTTGCTATCCTTGAGTAAAGGGATAATTATGCTTATACTTTCTTTGGTCTTGAACTCGCTCCCCGCTTGAGAATGAATGTTGGAAACTCTTCGATGACATGTTCCTTTGAGTGCACGATTCCTTAGCTGTGCCTGTTTGGTACCGAGCTCTTTGATGGCCTTTCTTTATCCGTTCACGCTAAAAGGTAGTGAGTGGAGTCAGGCACAAAGCGATCCTCAGCAGCCGAAAGAAGCCTTGTTCGATCTCCTGTTGAAGTGGTGACTCACCTGCAACATAAGTTTTGCAAACCTAGGTTAATTCAACCTTCCACTGGACGAAGGCAAAAAAAAAGAGATAGAATACGACGGTTTTTCAGGCGTATAGAGAATGACACGATCATCTAGCCTTGGCCCTCTCATCATCTGATTCCCGAAAGGCAGAACTGAAGAACGTTTGGGACTGGGCACGACCCCTCTTCTTTCTTTAGACTCTCGTTTTTTGTTTTCTGGATGTGGATTGAGCATTTTGTTGAGTATTGTTTTTGCGCTTGTTAACCTTCTTCTTTTTGACCGGACAACTGGATGCGCGAATCTTGCTCTACCACCCCTTTCTTTAAAAAGAAAGAACTCTAGTGAATGACTAAGAGGAAGTGCCTCTGTGGTTGTCAACGAGAAGTAGCTCGGAGGGTACGATCAGGGGAATATTATCTTTCCTAATGTCTAATGAAGTCCCGCTGTGAGTGTGATTCAAAGAGATGGCAGTGCTCTCTCAATCGTCCGAGGAAGATTAAAAAACCGAGTAACGAGTTCGCGCTTCTGTCAACGAGAAGTAGCTCGTAGAGAGGGGTATTTCTATAGATCCTTATGTCTTATGAAGTTCTCTCTCCCGTAGTTAGTGTGAGAAGGCTTCAGTCTAGCTTCTAGGTGGTAGAGCCATCAAGGAGCTTCCCTGTGCTTCGTAAATCAATAGGATCCTCCTCGTGGGATAGCCTTCAATCAAACAAGTTAAATCCTATCCCTTACCTTAGTGAGACAGAGAGAGCTTATTCTTAGAATCTGGGGTGGTCGTAGATCAGAAGAGATGGCTAAAGGAAGCTAATTCATGCTAGTACGGATTCTTAAGTAAGCAATATAATAAACACAATAATGCCTAAGCAATGGAGTTGTAATTCTTAAGTATGCTCTTTCAAGCGAGTTGTCAGGTAAGTCAGGTAAGAAGTCAGGCTAGCTCATTCCAAGCAAGAGAGGCAGGCAAGAAAGGAAGCATAGCATGCAAGGCACTTCTCGCTCTTTAATAATGCTAGTGGTTCTGCTCCGGTAGGCAAGATATAAGAAAAGCTAACAATGAAAGCTCTAAGCAAGGCAAGGAAGCTTCTCTACTAAGCACTTCACTCTAGTTGTTATGATTATGCTAATGAAAGCAAGGTAGCTTAGCTTGCTTACTCTCCCTGACCTCTTGCTGGAAGCATCGGAATCAAAAGATTGAGAAGGAGGTGGAGTATGCAAGCAACCTTTGCTTTGGATCCGGAGATTGAGATGATGCCTAATGGCTCTAGTCAGCTGCTTCTTACCCTCCAGTTCCCCACCCCCCGAGTCCTTTTGATGGATGCTTTGTAGCTTACCTTCGAAAGATGTTCTATTGGGTCACCTCCTTCCATTGGGAGAGAGATCAGGAGAGCTGGGTTTGGTAGTTCCCGTTAGCTGGCAAGGATACGAATACAGGTAAAGTAATTGGTTTATTGGACTTTGAATGCTGCCTGGCAGCGGAGCGGCTGGAAGAGAAAGAAAAGGAGGTGGAGCTGGGCCAGCAGAGGCACTTGAGAATGAGATGTTTGGTTCTTATCCGGGGTCATTGGATAGGGTGAAAGGCTAGCTTCTGAATCACAGGTTCCTGGTTCAGATGCCGCAAATCCGGTGTGTTGTCTCCTTGAACAGAGAGTAAGAAAGCAGAAATTCCTTCCTCCCTCATTCACGGACACTAAGCAGGGGCGGGCTTTCAAAGTAGTAGCGCTAGCGGCGCAGAAGGAGCTTGACACCATTGAATCAAGTTTGAAAGACTACGTATGAAAGAAGAATCCCCAGAGGGAGTGAACGGAGCTGCGCGAAGTGAGAACTAGAGCTTTAGGTTAACGTCACAGAGCCGGTAGGAACGGCACGTGCTGTATGAAACAATATGGCTCACTTAGGCCCGACGCCAGGACGCTTGTACTAGGATAGCCTATAAGACTTGTGGAGATAATATTAATATAAACCATGGGCCCGGCTAACAAAGGTACTAGAACCTTCTAGCTGATGGTAAAATCTTGGTCTCTGCCTATCGCCGGGACGTGTGATGCGGAGGCTTCCGTCCCCAAGGACGGACTGGGAAGTTATTCCCCTTCAACTTGACCAGCTTAATCACCTAAAGCCTATGAATGAATCTCAACCGTATCCACGTCACATTCAAGGTCGATTAATTGGCTTATTTGAATGCTGAAAAACCGCCTTTTCGATGCTTTTAGTATGGTGACACTAAACTGAAGCGTTCATAAAACGAATAATTGATCCAGCGTAGATTTGAGTTTCAGCGTAAGCCCTAGTTACTAACTTTCCTCCCTTTCCTTACCTAGGGCAGGCTTTCCATCTTAATACTAGAAAGAGACTTTCAGCTTTCACTCTTAATGAATGCAGTAACGGGTGGTTTCCTAAGGGTTTTCCTTACCCTGCTATCGATTCAATTCGTGCCAGCTACGCTTCCTCTTCTAGAACAGTGACAGCCTAGTCTGATTCCCCCTTCCGAAAGTGCCACACATGCCTACTTACTTAGGTCAATCAGTTCCTTCCGTCGCCTTCCCCAGTAGCCCCTTTTGCCCTGTCCTCTTCTATTCCTATTCAACTTGGAATTTATTAAAGTAAGACACTAAAGCATTCAAGCAGGTAAGACAGTGACGAACTCGTCCATTAACTATGCCAGTTGCTTTCAAACAGAGGGCATATTAGAGTAGAGCACCCGCTCATTCTCTTCCTTAGCACAAGCACTAAGCGATAATAATTGTTTTATTTACTTATTTTTGAGAACAACTAAGCGATAATAATTCCTTTATTTACTTATTAAAGTAGTTACCGGAATGCTCATTTTTTGTCCATAAGTTCTCCTCGCCGTAATTCTCTCTGGAAGTCGCCCCTACAACCCCTTGACTCCTGCGGGCTACGTTCGAACTAAACGAGAGTAAGTAACCCCGAGAGAACGGACTGACTACTAGGAGGGGGAAGGACCTGCGCCTAGCTAACGGAGTTCACGAGGAACCGACTTCAGTTAGTGAAGCGAGGCCTCAAACATCAAACCATATCTTACTGAATAATCTGACTGAACCGAGTGAGGTATAGACAGATTATATTATATCACAGCTTGTGTTGTGGCGAGACGAAGGCTTGCTTACCGGACAAGAAGGATTAGACTTTAGACCCACTAATGGACTATAGCGAACGGAGAGAAACAAACCTAAGTCACTACTGTATTGCGAACCATAAGGAACAAACGCACTACCAGTGACTGGCTAAAAGATAGAACACTCTTTCCTATTCCTACTCCAGGCAAGTAGTACGGATACGGACTATAACTCCAGCCTACTGCTCCATACAGAGTACGGATTCAGGGATTTCAAACACTCTAATGGACTATAACGAGCTGAGTAGTGTAGTACTAAAGCCCTGAGTGACTCTTGGCTGCCCTCAGTGATAGACGCAATTACTTTGATTACTCTATTCCTACGAAACGCGCCAATAAAGAGTGGGGGAAGGGACGGATTTGAGACTACCGATGTCTGACGTGCTGATACATAGAGCAGCCGGGTAGTGGATTTTTTAGAAAGAGTGTTTCCTCCTTTTATTAGAGTATAGGTGTTTCCCTCTTCTCTTCTCCGTGTGTATTGAATGATGGAATCAACTACGAGACCGATTGGATAGTGGATTCCGGTTGCTCACATCACTGGTGATATGAGTAAGTTCCTAAGGCTACAAAAGTACAAAGGTAACGATGCAGTTGTCACGGCGGACAACACTGTACATCCAGTGGAGCATGTGGGTGACCTGCCCATTTCGCCCATGAAAGGAGGATCCAAAGTCTTGGAGAACGTTTACCACGTTCCGGGAATGAAGAAAAACTTGGTATCGGTTCCTCAGATTACAGCAGCTGGGCACTATGTGCTTTTCGGTCCAGAGGATGTCAAAGTATTGGCGAACGCAGATGTTCGTGGAGACATCCTAATGGAAGGCAGAAAGGTGAAGAAGCAAGAATGAATCTATTAATCTATTAAAGCTGTCTTTGATTGATCTTCGAAGCTCTCCTAAGGAACTACTACTCAAATGAAAGAAAGAGTCCCACCTACGAGTTTTTGCCTTACTCAGCGGAACCAGGACTACCCCTTTCATGCAGAATCTGTGAATGCGCTTACCTTGACTAACCTACCCGCCTAGATAAAGGAAGGATACCGAATGCTTATCTTCATAAACATCATAGAAGAAGTCTAACTAGAGTCATTATTAGGAGGAACCTTATTGGATTGATAATGAAAACCAGACTAGAGACGAGGAACTTGCACCGAAGAACAACAATACGGTCTACCGGACTGAGACCGACAGACTGCTATCAAGCGGGAGAGAAGGTTGCTCCAGATGAGAGTTGGTCGTGTATATTGCTTTCTCGCCTAACTACAGGTAAGATTCACTACCTCTTCTATCAATATAGCTAGTATAAAGCCTATTCCTTTCCGAAACTGTACGGTACGATTACGATGGTGGATTACTTATTCCGATCTACATCTCCTCGTGCTCGCCTCTGCCTTGCCTGCGGATGATGCCTTTCACCACTTCTTCCTACTCATATTCAATATTCTTTTTTGGCTCGAACTTTATTTTGAGCCGAGACTGTCTTTGTTGAGCTCTACGCCTTTGCCTTTGCCCACGAATTGCGCCGGGGATAAAAGAACATAATTACATTATCCCTTCGACGACTGAGCCGGGGCTTGCCCCTTTCATTTCACATGGAATTGATCGCCTATTTAAAGTAATATTCCATATTACCCTCGCTGACAACGTACCTATCTTAGAAATTCCTCCTATATTTACTGGATCTTGGGTAACTTAGACTGAGATTGGAACTTGATTTGATCATTCGCTCCTCATTCTTAACGAGATGAGCTCATTCATTCCTTGCGCTTAGTTACCTTCATTCATTCCTCCACGGAGAGAGGCTCTATGAAAGAAGAGAATACGGAGCAACCTTCGCCTGAGACGGGGCTTCCTTAGAGTGGACAGAGACTGTGATCCTAGCTTTCTGACTGGGCAAGCAGCTCCTACCGAATTTGCTCCTAGACTGCTTTCAAGGTTCACGTTCACTACGGACAGCAGGGACGGAAACTCCTACTGGCGTTCCTCGTTACTTGACTGACCCACAATCCATTAAATAAGTTCAGTTCAACCTGAGATTCCATTTCTACAGAACGGAGAAAGGGGAGAGCGGGGAAGTTGTTGAGTAAGTCAGTTCAGTGTTCAAGCGGATTGGCAGTCAAGTAAGGATAAGATCTATCTCAAGTAGGAAAGGAGTGAAAGTCAAGGCCCTGGAATTCAGTTCCGTAGGGAAATCAAGATAGGTGGTTTGCTCACCCGTAAAAACGAGGCGCTAAGAAAGAAGAAGTTAAGTCTACGCTAGGAACGAGTTCCGGGCTAAGGACGAAGCAAGTGCTTTAACCCTCCTATTGATTCTTTCTGGTAAATCCCTCTTCGCCTCGAGTCTGGTAGTACTAAAAAAGGTTTGCTGCTCTTCTTCTTTCTGAAAGATAGCTATTCTTCGCCTCTCGAAAGAGGCTACGTACCTGTTAAACGATAAGCGCTACGCTTTTCCCTAGGGCTTTTACTTCTTGTCTACAGCAGTTCAAGTACGAGAAAATGAATTCCTCTAGCTAAGTTCCCTGTCGAGAGGGAAGAAAGGAGAATTTACTTCGGGGCTTAAGGTAGTCCAGTCACCCTCAGGTCATAATAGAGTCTAGTATGACATCGGTAGGAAGATAATGCAGCTAAGCCGAGACTTGCTTCTGAGGCATTTCAGACTTTACTTGCTGTTGCCGATATGATCTTTTCTCTTGTTTCAGAAGTGGAGTTTGCTGCTATCGTAGATAAGAGTGACGGAATTGATAGAGCGAAATCCACCCGGAAAGAAGAACTGCAGCTCGATTTGAGATGAAATCTGGCAATAGCTCTAGGGCTGGTTCTGCACCAGATAAGAGAGTTGGGATTGAGCTTTTACTAAAGGACCTATTATTGTTATTGTCAATTCCCAGTCTTAAGACGATTATCCCGGATTCACCGACATTAGCTTCCGAACAAGCTCATGCCATCTCGTGAGTAATAGAAATCCTTTTCCTTCGTTGTTGCATCGGAATGCTAGTGCAATAAAATAAGACTTTATGAAGGCTGTGAGGGAGCTGCTTTGAGAGAAATTATGCCTATTTAATTCATTTTCTTCGATAGCATCCGATTACTGAACACCTTCAAAATCCGACGGCACACTGAAACAACTCAAGCGAAAGAAGCCCGCATACCCACTCTTCTCTCTCCCCCGCTTGGGGGCCTCGTTGTCGCCTTTGGCTTCAACTACTTTTGCTTCAGGGAACAGATAGCTTGCTGCCCAAGCTTACCTCCCAAAAAACAAGCCATATAGAGTGAGTGGAAAAGGTAAGAAAAGTCTTGGCTACGGAGGGAAGTAAGCAAGAAGTTCTGGTTGCGGGCTAACGTAACGGCTTTCAATCGTGTAGTTCAGTCTGGGCGTAAGGCCTATCTATAGTCCGGTCGGAAAGGCATCAGTTGTTGGGCTAGTAAGGCTCTTTCTTTCGCGGGCAGGTTACAGTTAGTTAACTCTATCCTTTTCGCCATCCTGGTCTTCTCTTTTATTCCTTCCTCAAGGAGTAATCCAGCGGGTTTAGCATATTCTCCATGCCTTTCTCTAGAAGTGATCTTGACCATAGAAGGGCCAAGGTTGCTTGGGCTACGGTCTGTCTTTCTA